CCCCCTTGTTCCCTGCCCTGTTTGCCCCCCCAGATGGAGCCCCCCGCCCCCCTCCCCCTCCACCGGTCGTTTCGCAAGCGCCCCCGCCGCTGCCACGGGCATCGTCGGCTTCACCGCCGCTCCCGCCCCCGCCAGCGCCACAAGGCAAGTTAATTTGCCCTGGCCAGCTCTTGGGACTATGTGGCATGATCCCCGATGCTACTGGAAGCCGGGATACCTCCCAACCCGGGGGCTAATGCCCGATTACGGGTCCTTCATCGTCAATGGTGGCGTAGTGATGAGTAGGAGCTTACCCTGCGGCATTGAAGTGCACTTCGATGATTTCCATTGCTGCCAAACCCAAGGCAAACGCCTTTCCTTTTGTTTTTCCCTCCAGCTGGCCGCCCACAGGGTATTGCCCCTCCGCCACCGCCGCCGCCGAAGTCGGCTCCTTCCCAGCCGCCACCGCCTCCTCTGCCGAGTGCTTCCCAACCGCCGCCGCCGCCGCCGCCGATACCGGCTTCTTCTCAACAGCCACCGCCGCCGCCGCCGCCGCCGGTGCCGTCACTACCCCAAGGTGAGGGCAACGTGGCTGAATGTACCGGGCCCCTTGATCAACTTTTTTTTTTGTTTTGGGATCATGTTGAGCGGGATATATGCTTCGAATGGGTATGGCATCGTGTGAGGCGTGTTGCCTTTTGTGTTTTTTTTTATCTTCTTATTGATACGGTACGGCTCGGCTCCCCGTGCCCATCTCCATGCAAGTGACCGACAAGGCAAGGGCAGTTAGTTGTTGCAACAGTGTTTGACAACGGGGAAGTAAGCATCGTGCAGACAATAGATACGTTTGATGCCGCAACACCCTTGCGAACGACCGTTGAAACAGTAAGGTTTGAAGAAAAATCCCCGATGTGCAGGGCACAAGGGACGCCGGCGTTGTGTTGCCAAAACCAAGGCGCGTGGTATGTCATGCACCTGACCTAAGGAAACAAGTCAGCGAGAGCGACGTCGACGTACCCAACCGCTCCTCTCTATTCCCTCCTCGTTCCGTGCAGGTGGAGCACCGCCGCCCCCGCCGCCCCCCCCGCCCCCAGTACGCCAGGGTGAGACTGAGACGGAATTGTGTGTTGTGCTTTTTGTGTTCTTCCCAGTTATTCGCGTGATGAAGACCTACGCTTGATTTAGTTTTGGACAGCCCTAAAGTGCGATTGGTGTTTTGCCGTGCATGATGTACAGACTCCTGTTTTTAAGAAGAGTTTCAAATGTGGCAATCGCGTCCTAGGGCGCCTCCCAAGCCCGTCAATATCCGATGTTTTGTTCTTGTTGGATACGTGAGCAATGGGCGAACTTCGTCGTCTGCATTCTCCATCCAAAAACATTGGAGAGTCACGCACACGTAACCCCCCCCCCCCC